GAGGGCAGTGTCACTGGCCCTCATATGTGGGATCTGAACCGGGGCCCTCTGGCGTCCCAAGCCAGCTCTTAACCAACGCGCCACTCGGCCAGCCCAGTCTGGATAATATTTTAATTTAACAGCCTGGTAATGTTGTCCCATATATTAGAGTACACCTTATGCTTCTCTGGAGCAGAGCAACAATGGAGCAAGTGCTGGCTATTTTTAGGAATAGTTTTAAGCTGATAAGTCACTGAATGGCACCTCTAAGGGTTTAGAGGCTATTTCAGTTTAGTAGCAAGTGCCAGAAGATGTTTCCATAGTGACAGAATTGTTGTAGAGTTCATCTACCAGAAATAGGGCCCAGGTCCATTGATAAGGGAAAGGCATGGACGTTGCAGTCTATTCGTAGCAGAAATTGCTTTATGTAAATTGATGAATACAAAGTTAGGGAATGGGTATGATCAAACAGTGCTTGAACTTGGACTTACTACAGAAGAATGAGAGGAGAGGAAGTATAGTAGGAACAGTAAGATGGAGCAGTGCCTAGTGAAGGTTCTTGAAACCAATCATAGGAAGCTTATTCATGTTGTCATTTTGGGGTCTTAAAAGGTGATCTTATTGAAGCCAACATCAGAGACAATGATTTGGCAATAGTGTTAGACTGTCTAAGAGGGAATTCTGACCGGGAAACCAATTTGAGAAGTGCCTTGGCTTAGACTTAACCTTTGCAGAGAATAAGAGGGGGAAAAAAGGGCAGGTTATTTCCTAGTGGTGAAATTCAGGTTACATATAACTCTAGAGCCAAAACTGATTCTCATATCACCAGTTCACACTAACTGTCCAGAATGTCTAATTATATTCTAATATTTCTGGAACTACTTATGATTATATATACATCATAGGACAGAAGCACTGGAAAATGAGCTTTTGCAAATTTTGGTTTGAGTACCGACTTCTGTATTGTTATTAAGCATATGTCTGTAACATATTGAGATAGATATAACAATCTAACCTCCATCAAAAAAATGCTTGTAACATTGCAAGATGATGCACCTCTCATTACAGCTATAGGGGTCCAGTTCCGTGGTACACCATAAATCTTGATTTACCGCCCTACAAGAGATGGCAGGAATTGATCATTGACAAGGCACCAGCGGTATGCTATGATTTTTAAATTTTCTATTTCTGACATTACTGAATATAATTGCATTCATAAGTGTACGCATCATGAAATTACACACCAAGTATTTTAAGAATGCACGCTTGATACTTTTCTGTTGTTTGTAGTCAACGATAATAGGTGAAAAGTTGGCATTCCTCTGTAGTTTGCTTTTTTTGCTAGCCTTTGACTGTTTCTCTCTATATCATGTACCTTCATCTAACTAGTTAATCGTGTTAAAGATGTATTGTGTTTATGCACTAATTGAAAATATTTTCAGTTAGAACTCTTATTTTGTTTAGTTACATACAGATAAATCAGAAAGTCTATATCTCTTTTCATTATACCGATATTAATTTTAACACTTTATGTCTCTTATTAATTGATTGATTGATTGATTGATTGATTTTCAGCTAAAGATTATTGTGAATTCCCTGAAGAATATAGCAAATGCATTTGTTCCAAGTGGAAAAATTATGCAGATAGTGGATCAAAAGTTGGTAAGAAATATTATTTCCCACAATAAATTTTAAACATACCCACAGTTCAGAAAAGGCTGTGATTCTTATTTAAAGGCATAATTTGACAACCTCTTCTAAGGAGTTTGGACATGTTTGTATTTATTCAAGACTGCTATCAAAACTTCAGAGGGATTTAAAATTCTGGGCCTTGGTAATATTAGAGTAACAGGACATAAAATAGCATGGCAAATTTGGGCAGTTAACTGCTCTTTAATGTTTTTTAAAAGTATGGACATTTTTACAGAGCAGTGGGCAAACTACACCTATGTCATCTGGGAGTATGACATCTCCTTCCCCTTATATATACTTGGGTTTGCAAGTTCACTATTGAAAATTAGGGGTTTTTTTTCTTAAGTACTTTGCCTTAGTATCTCAGGACATCTAGAGATTTTTCTCATCCAGCCCTGTATTTCATGAAGTCTCTCAATAGCTGTGACCATTGAAACGCACTTGGGTTACGTGTTTCTTGTGGTTATGCTCTCAACAAACCATTTCATTTTTCTCCTGCTCATGCAGGAGACTCCATTTCTCAGCCCTTTTTTTCATTTAGGTGGAACCCATGGAAAAACTAGGGCCTGGCCCCAAGAGCCCCCTGAGAGAGCCTCATCACCCTCTTTAAGTTTTGGCTCTGGGGCCCTCACTAGTCTGCAGGGTGCAAAGGACTGGGGAGGACCAAGGTCCTAGGGCAGATGTTTTAACCTCAGCACTACTGACATTTGGGATTGGATAATATTTTGTTGTGGGGGGTCTCCATGCACTGTAGGATGTTTAGCAGTATCCTTGGCCTCTACCCACTGAACGCCAGTGTCACCCCTTCATTTGTGTTAACCAAAAATGTGTCTAGATGTCACCAAAGGTCCCCTGGGGAGAAAACCACCCCTGGTTGAGAATTATTGTTCTCGAGGCTGGATGCTCTGGGCATGTCATTCCTATGATACTTGCACCTGCCAACCACCAAATCTGCTATCCCTCATGTTTATGGTCTCTGAGCCTTTGATTAAGACTCTCCTTTATGGTCATACTAACCAGACTCCCTTGAAATACATGTTGGCAGGGGCAGCAGCAGCAGAGCCCCCTCCCCGCTGCCACCCCGCATACCCCATGTGCTCCAGGCCCTCTCCTCTGCATGTCAGCAGGGAAGACCACATGCAAGGGGTGCCCAGGCTTTGTAATCAGACAACATTGGGGGTTTTGTTTATGCTTTAAACACTGGATTTTAAGGTCGGATCAGTCACATACTAGCTGTGTGTCCTTTGACAAGTTTCTTAACCTATGAAACTTCAGCTTTCTCATCAGGGAGAATTTCCTAATAACATATTATCTATGGTGGTTTTGAAGCGTCAATGACATATTGTATGTAAAGTAAAGCGCAGTGCCTGGATGTAATAAATAGTTAACAAATGTTCAATAAGTCATTTTTGTTTTTTAAATTGGAATGAATATCCCACTTGTAGAATGCTTTGAATTCCTAGGGAAACACATCATGTCTTAGGTCACATTACACACAGATAGCAACCTGGTGAAAAATGAGACTTGTACGTTTTAAACACATTGTCTTAGCAAGAGGCTATGGCTTAAATCTTGGTTTCATTGTTAGTGAATAGTAACAGTTGAGGATAAAAGTATGATGTCCACCATTGAATTTGCCTATGTGTCCATTGTTTGTGACAAAATGCAGTAATGCATCTTAGCCCAAGGTCAGCTATTAACCGTGAATGACTGGAATACATATTTTTTGATGTGTGGGAAGGAAATAGTAATAAGGTCGTAATGCCAATGGCTAGCGGGTGAGTTTGAGTAGAGATGAGGAGTGCTAATTGTGATGTTACTGTGTTGTGGGTCATATAAGTTCATCCAAGCGGAATTATTCCAGTTCCGTCTCTTTGGAGAATAGGGTGAAATATAAACTATCTGAGAATCACCTGAGAACAGATAAGCTTAGGGGTGCAAAAGCAGGAGTTACAGTGAATATTGCATAGATCTTTGAGAATTACGTGATGTAAAATTATCTTTAAAAATAACAGATCACCTGTTGTGGCAGCAGTATGTAGAACAAATTATATGTAAAAGAACCAAATCTCAAAGCAACCCTTCGGGTTGAATGATTGTTAATTTATTTGGTTTTTCAGCCTGGTCTACTTGGCAACTTTCCTGGCCCTTATGAGGAGGAAATGAAGGGGATTTCAGATATTACCGGCATACCTTTAGGTAAAGTTCATTTTTCAGATTTCAGAAAATTTAAAGCACTTACATTTTTTCTGTTGAGGGGTAGTATACATACAGTAAACTGCACAGATCTGAAGTATACAGCTCAGTAGGGTTTTAAAAATGTATAGTGACTAATCATAAACTTAGATCAAGATACAGAAAATTCCAGCCACCCAGAATGTTCCAACCTGCCCCTTCACAGACAACACTGAGTCCCCAGGTGACAGCTGTTCTGACTTCATCATAGATGAGTTTTGCCTCTTGGACTGCTTATAAATAGAACTAAACAGTATGAACTATTGTGTCTGATTTCTCGTACTTATCATTATAGGTAGTATGCTATGGTAAGAATAGGATATTGGGTTGTTTCCTCATTTTGGACATTAAGAATAAAGCATTTATGAACATTCTTGTACATGCCTTCTGATGGGTATAATGCACTTATTCCTCTTGAATATCTACTGGGTTGTAGGGTAGCTGTATGTTTAGCCTTGTAGATTCTTCCAACCAGTTTTCCAAAGTGTTTGTATCCATTGATAGTCAGCAA